TATTACATGTGTCCTTATCCCCCCATTGCCCCCCCACCCCCCCGCTCGTGCCCTCACCCCTAGTGTCTGTGTCCATTGGTTAGGCTCATATGCATGCATACAAGTCCTTTGGTTGATCTCTCCCCCTTCCACCCTCCCTCCCCTACCTTCTCTCTGAGGTTTGACGGTCTGATTGATGCTTCTCTGTCTCTGGATCTGTTTTTGTTCATCAATTTATGTTATTTATTATATTCCACAAATGAGTGAGAGCATGTGATATTTATTTTTCTCTGACTGGCTTATTTCGCTTAGCATAATGCTCTCCGGGTTCATCCATGCTCTTCCGCTTTTTAATAACATTTCCTGGATTGCTTTCTTAGCTGCTTTAGCATAAGAAACATTCTCCTAGGAGTTAGAGGTTGAAGGAAATGGAAAGACTTCTATTTATTTTTATACTTAGGACACTGGAGAGGTCAACAAACTACAGATTATGTCTATCAGCATCCACACACCACCCATGGCACTGTGTTTGTGCTTTACTGAGCTTCAGGAAAAGTCAAACACTGTCAGGTCACCTTGACTTAATCATTTTACCTTACAAAAGCAGGAACCATGTATTCCATGGCCAAGCCTCAGTTCATGTATGCATTATTTGTTTCATTGTTTGTGTGTGTGTTCATGCTCAGAGCAATACATCTCCTAGTCTGCAGTTCTTCTAACACAGACCTGGCTACTGCTGCAAGAATACAAGGGAAATTTTTGGATGTATCACGCATAATCTTAGAATGTGTTTAGTTGCTGCTTTATATTTTATATGTACGATACATCACTATTATGGAACAAAATCCATCCTACAGTTACTAAAACTTCTAGATTTACTTGCACTGCTGGGCTGATTTTCATCTGGGTGAGTTTAAGATCAGGGCCTTCAATACCTTGTTCCTACTTGAGCTTTTCTTGGACTTAAATGAAGTAAGACCTTACAGTGTGGCAAGAACATCATTAGGTTCTCTTATCTTGATGGATCCTGAAAATGGAAGTAGGGCAATCAAACTTGGTTTCAAGTATGGTGGGGTTCTCAACTTACCATTCAGGGGTGGGATTTCGAGAGTCCATGAATAGGCACAAATTGTACAAATATTAGTCAGCTGTTTTCATCACTTTTATAAATGGGTCCTTAACTTCCAATAAAAGAAGGTTTAAAACAATTTTATATAAATCTTATAGGGAAGAAAAGGTAATTTTTAAAACATTTTTCATTAAACGAAGTGGAAAATGTCAGCAGACAAATTTATTTGCATTGAAGGTAAAATGCATTCCTGATGCATTCCTCTTTGCTAAGACAGTTTCTTGCAGAAGCTTGCCAGGGTATGCCCGACTGTGCAGCAATACCGCCCTCTGGTGGTCTGACATCATAAAAATTGCTTCTTTTTGCTGGAAATTGTCCTCGCTCCTGAAGCCCTTGTTGTCCCTTCTTGCCGGCTATCCTGCATTAACTGTGGTATCCTATTTTAATTCTTCCAGGTTTTCAGGGACTGTAAGAGCAGGAGTGTGGATGTATCATTTGCCCATTGCACAGGTGAGAAACGGAAAGTCCTTGGCTAACAAGAATCCTCGAACAATTGAACGTGATCCCAGCTGCTACGTAGACCTTACGTCACTTGTGCTTTCTTGTAGCTTCCTTGGTAAAAGCCATGCAATACTTTGGAAACCTAGACTCAGAGGAACCAATTTTTTTTAAATCAGTATCTGCTGCCATAAGTGACATCCATTCGAATAAAGCGAGACAAGTAAGTCAGCCTGCTACAGTTATAAGAAAAATCAGAATGTAAAATCAAGGGCTTTGTATGTTTAAATATTAGCTTATTATTCCACTGGCATCTAAAACTCCATTAAAATGTGCCCCCTCGGAGGCCTCTATCTCAAGTAAAGAAATGTTTCCATTCCTTTTCTGGACCAGTTATGAACATTATCCAATAATTTAAATTTTCTAACAGTATCATGGCATAGAGGATTTGGTGAGCACCTATTCAGTACAGACTGCTAGCTTGCAGAATAAATGCTTCTTTCTTGCAGGATCCACTGTCCTGGGAATTTGAATCTACCTCTGTCAAATACCAAAACTCTAAACATAGCATTATAGCTTTTCTCCTGCTCTGATGCCCTTGACTCTACAAATATTGCCATCTTTGGAAACAGTATCTAGAAAGCCCAGCACTCATGCTGAATTGTCCAAGTTATCCTCCAAATACTGGGCTTTATGATTAGTCTTAGGACTGTTCCTAGAGCTCTGATTTCCTGTAATTTTTCCTTGATTTTAAATCATGTTGCCTTTTCTCATCCTTAGACTAGAATTTGGTGCCTCCCAGAGTCATTCCTATTATATTCTATCAGAGCTGTATGTATTTACAAAATAATGACATGACTACTACTATTTTTATTACAATGACCCCCTAACATTCATCGATCCAGGAATATGCTAAGAACTTCACCCATATTAATCCACTAAATTGGCTACGAACTTATGAGGAAGATACTATTATTTAACCTATTTTTTTTTTAGAAATGAGGAAACTGGGTGGGTGGGGGTGAAGGGAACAATAGTAACAGTATGGTGATTAATGGGGGAAAGGAGGTGGGTGGTGGAGGAGGGTTTAGGGGGGATAAATGGTGATGGATGGAGACTTGGGGTGGTGAGCACACAATAGAGTGTACAGATGATGTGCTGTGGAATTGTGCACCTGAAACCTGTATAATTTTGTTAACCAGTGTCACCCCAATAAATTTAATATAAAGGGAAAACAAAACAAAACAGAAATGCTCCATCTGGGACATGTGGTGAGAAAGAATAAAATTGTTTTATCATGATGTCCTCCCAAAAGAAATAAAGAAATAACATTTTTTTAAAAAAATGAGGAAACTGAGGCCCAGGGAATTCTACCATTTGTAAGTGATGGAGCCGGTTTCAAAGTCAGCACTCTGGTCCTGGCCTTGGAGCTTTAAACTGCTAACTCTGATGCCTCACAGGCTTTTCTTGGCTTGGCTGGAAGCTTGCTTCCATTCCGACTGTTGTTGTTGTTGTTTTTTAACTGGTCAGCAGCATGTGCTTACTGCTTCCTTTTCAATTTCAGAATCTGAGCAAACTCAGTGAGCAGAGTGAAGTCTGAAGCCCTGTGTGCTGCAGCACAGATGTTGCTTCAGCAGCTGGCCTGCGGAGAACGTACGCCAGCGTTTTGCACAACCTGTTCCATCGTTTAGATCCTGTAGAGGACCTCTGCTATGATCCCTACAGTGTGACTTGTTAGCCACAGAGTCCCTGGTCGAGATCTGCTAACACCTTTTTCCTAATTTTTGTTAGTAAGCAGATTCACTGAGTAGGTTATTTTGTGGTTATTTTATAAAATGGGTATGCATTTAGTTTTGGTATACTGAAAGGTAAACATGAATGTATTTCCTTTTTTCCTGGTATTTTGTGTTATTTTATTTCTCTTTTGTTGTCAGTTAATTTGCAAAACTGAGAAACATCTTGTCATCAGAGACTTAGAACATTTGCAAACCGTTTGTAAAAATCCAGGATCTTCTGTAACTAATATACAAAAACAACATAGCACATTGCCATTTTCCCTTACAAAAAGCACACACAATTAAATATCTATTTTATGTGATGGGATATGCAATTTTATGTGATGTGATATGCAATTCACAGAAAATAAGTCAAACAAAACAAACGACACCCTAGCAACCATTGTTCTCCATACCTTTGCATGCACAGTGGTCTTTAAGAATATTGTCCAGATGACCGGTACCCCAATGGAACCAAGTTCTTCACGTGACTCACTTTTGCTCTGAATATTGGAAATGATTAGGAGATCGTAAGACCTGATACTCCTAATTTCCAAATCCCCACTGCATAAAAAATCTGTTTTCAGTTTAATTTTTATTGGAGCCCAAGAATGTGGAAGTTGCACATTTTATATTTTTTCACAAATATGATTTTTAGATGAGAAAATACCACAGGTAAGTATTTATAGCTTTGTGCTATTCTGATATAAGATTACAGTAGTTTGAGACTTTCTTATTTCAGAGACACAGTCAATCCTATCTAATAAAGAGGGAATATGCTAATTGACTGTCCTGCCCACTAAAATATGGCGGCGCCCACAGCCAATAAGGAGGGAATATGCTAATTGACTGTCCTGCCCACAAAAATATGGCGGCGCCCACAGCCAATAAGGAGGGAATTTGCTAATTGACTGCCCCACCCTCAAAGATGGCGGCACCCACAGCCACAAGATGGCCAGCAGGGGAGGGCAGTTGGGGGCGATCGGGCTGGCAGGAGAGTGGTTAGGGGGTGATCAGGCTGGCAGGTGCGTGGTTGGGAGCCAGCAGTTCTGGATTGTGAGAGGTATGTCCGACTGCCTGTTTAGACCCGATCCCACAGACAGTCGGATATATCCTAAACCAGTAGTCAGACGTCCCCTGAGGGGTCCCAGATTGGAGAGGGTGCAGGCTGGGCTGAGGGACACCCCCCCTCCAGTGCATGAATTTCGTGCACCAGGCCTCTAGTATAACATAATACACTTATCTCTATATAGCTATATATGTATGTTTTTCTTTTTTTGTTGTTGTAGGAGAGCTTAGGTATGTGATTATCTGTAAACCCACCAACCAGCAGAGTAATTGACAAGCCCCAGAGGCCAGGCTGACCTGTATGTGTTATTGTTTCATTTTTGCTCATATAGTTTTATTCACATGTAATTACATTGGTGCATATTTTTATCCAGCAATTTGATTTACCTATTAAGAAGTCTCACTTTTGCCCGGCCAGCATGGCTCAGTGGTTGAGCATTGACCTATGAACTGGTAGGTCACAGTTCAATTCCCAGGCAGGGCTCGATCCCCAGTAGGGGGCATGCAGGAGGCAGCCAATCAATGACTCTCTCTCTCATTAGTGTTGTTTCTCTTCCTTCCTTCTCTGACATTAATTAAAAAAAAAAAAGTCTCACTTTCAAAGAGTCAGTGCCAAACAGAGTCAGGATGTAACTGCAGTGAGAGTTTCCCACTTTGTTTGGTGTTGTGGTTCCTTTTGTTTTGTTTTGTTTTTCTTTTTTTTAAGACAAAAGAATACGAGGTTACTCCAAATTACCTAAATGCTCTGTAATGATGTCTTCCAGAGTACTCATTATATAAAAGTCCTCAGTCATTTTCTATTGATTCAGCAAGAGGAAAAATGTTATTTTGGTCAAACTGATGTCCTTTCTGTCCTAACAAGCAAGACCAATCTCTCTAGTAAGTGTAGAAAGCTTTTTAGTATTTTTCCCCCTATTTGGGGCCTCTTTATGGCCACATTTAGAAATTGACTAATTAACAAGTCTATTAAGCATCTCTACTTAAGAACAATTGTTACATTAAAAAAAATGCTTCAAGAATAAAATAAAGAAAAATAAAACCAGAAGTTTATCCTTATTTCCTGTGCTTTTAGAGCTGCCTTTTTGGACCCATCTTGGTTTGAAGCAATTGCTGGCCTTTGTGAAGCTAGAGAAGTTAGGCAACTCAGAGCCTCTTTTAGGCTGTCATGTTTTCCAAATCAGCTTCCCTACTTAGCTCCCATTGCTACACTGCCTTGCACCTTGATTTATATCTCTCGGGAGTTCCAAGTGCTCATGCTCTCTATTTTCTTAAATTTTAGGTAAGGGCCCTATATTTAAGTAAAGATACCTTTCCTTAGGCTAACAAAGCCTGAGAGAGTGCAGTGAACACAAAGGTTAGGGTGAGGAAAGAAAGGTTGAGGATAAAGGCAGGTTTGCAGAGGCCACTGAGAGTCTGAGGAGAAGGTTGGCATGATGAACCCTTTAATGGTATGATTTCAGGAGTCTCTAGATGTCTCTAGATGTTTCCTGAATCCAAATATTTACCTGATCATTCTTTCTAGGGGCCTGAAGTTATCATTAGTCACTCGGGCAGGAGTAAATATTATAAGAAAGGAAAACACACATGTAAGCTGGTACCATGCACTGTGTTAGCCATAGGAAGCACTGGTTCATCCGGACAGCTTATAGAACATTGGCGTCAAGGACTCAAGACACCAAAGCACAGAAGACATTTGAATGAGGAAGGCTGGTTAGAAATGTCTTTAGGAGCTCAGGGCACTGCCAAGGGTAAGGATGAGAATGGCGGGGGGGGGGGGGGGGGCAGCTGATGTGGCTCAGTGGTTGAGTGTCAACCTATGAATCAGGAGTTCACAGTTCGATTCCTGGTCGGGGCACAGGCCTGGGTTTTGGGCTCGATCCCCAGTGTGGGGCGTGCAGGAGGCAGTCGATCAATAATTGTCTCTCATTATTGATGTTTTCATCTCTCTCCCTCTCCCTTCCTCTCTGAAATCAATAAAAATATATTTTTAAAAAATGAAAGAATGGGAATGTGGAACTGGGAGGCGGGCTCAGGCCGGCATCTTAGGGAGGACAGGGGTGATGTCTGGGATGCAGGCTGGCAGCTAGGCCTCAGGCCTTCCCTGGATATCCAGTGTTCTCCTTTCCCCCACCCTGAAGACACAGACACAGTGGAAGTGGGGTTTGTGAAGCTGAACCCAGTTTTCCCACACAGCGGCTTTTCCTTTTTCTGGGGCTCAGACCCATGACTTTTGCTTTGGCTCTAGAATTAAAATTTGAGAATAGCAGTGTGACTGCCAAAAAAACGGGATTGACATGTCACTTTTATCTTGTGTAAACCTTTTTATTTTTTTACTTGCCCTTCTCCACACTGCTAATGAAAATATTGAGGTAGTCAAGGTCTCACTTAACATTGTAGAGCAGCGGTTCTCAACCTGGGGGTCGCGACCCCTTTGGAGGTCGAACGACCTTTTCACAGGGGTCACCTAAGACTGTCGGAAAACACACATATAATTACATATTGTTTTTATGATTAATCACTATGCTTTAATTATGTTCAATTTGTAACAATGAAATTGGGGGTCACCAAAACATGAGGAACTGTATTAAAGGGTCATGGCATTAGGAAGGTTGAGAACCACTGTTAGAGGCTTCATCAATGAAAACTAATCACATTGTGATACAGCTTTCTCCTAAGTCACAGTAAAAATATGTTCCATATAATCATCTGCACCACAATCACCAGGTGTATTTGTGAAATATGCAGATTCAAGCACCCAATGCAAGACTTAGTGGATCAAAATTTCTTTGGGGTGGTTTGAGGAATAGGGATTTTAAAACACCGCTCCACTTTAATTTTACACCCTAAAGTTCGGAATCACAGTCACAGAGGCTTTTTAGTCTGCTATACGAAGAAAGCCCCTGACCTCTCATTCTCAGGCACATATGTGCTCATCACCAGTTTTTTTTGTTTTGTTTTGTTTTTAAATATATTTTATTGATTTTTTACAGAGAGGAAGGGAGAGAGACAGAGAGTTAGAAACATCGAGGAGAGAGAAACATCGATCAGCTGCCTCCTGCACATCTCCTATTGGGGATGTGCCCGCAACCCAGGTACATGCCCTTGACCGGAATCGAACCTGGGACCTTTCAGTCTGCAGGCCGACGCTCTATCCATTGAGCCAAACCGGTTTCGGCTCTCATCACCAGTTTTATTTAGCTTGTGCATCAGTCACAATGCATTATGGCTACATTGTAGATCTGTGATGCTAATCTTAAGTGACCAGAACTAGGTGTATAATCATATCACATGGCAAAGGACTATGTAAAATTCACCCATAGCTTTTGGTGAACATGAGTTGGTTGGAATCAGAAAATATCTGAAACATACTATTCGTATTCATATATTCCTGAGTGAACTTCCCAAGACTAGAAGTTTGTGTTGATTATCTCTCATCATGGAACATGTCAGCCTCCTTCTTAGTTTACAAATGTTTACTGTCGCTGACTGATACCAATGCAGTCACGTAAGGAAATGGTCCCGCCCTCCAGGTTCTTCCTCACGGACATCTGTTAGAAGCACGCCCTACAAGGGAGAGATTTCCCTGCCAGCCCCAGGCTCCTCAGGTAATCATTTTCTTTCAATGCCTTCCTTGAAATTGCTCGTGTGATTCTAGCAGAGTGAATTCTAGTTAAACCTTTTATTGTGCACAGATGGAGCTGGGATAAAGGGAAGGTTTCAGCAATATCGCTCAGCTACTTTCAGTTCGAGGATTGAGGCTGATGCAAACCATCATAACTAGAGGGAAAATAATATTCAATTATGAATCACTGCCAGATGTGTGAATTCATGTCTTCAGGTTTCATTTTTCTGAAATATGCTTACTGTAGTATATTCTTTGTCTACTTTGTGAGTCTCTTTCTATGGGTAATGAATTTAATGGCATTAAATGTTCAGAAGATCCCCAAATTAAGAAACTATGGTTGCTGTGTCTGCTTAATCCCTTCACCTTTTTCACCCAGCCTCCTAACTCATAGACAGACAGCTATGGTAATTACCAGAGGGAAAAGAAGAGGCAGGGGATTGAAGGGATAAAAGGGGTATAGATAGTGATGGAAGGAAACTTGACAGGGTGGTGAACACACAGTGCGATATACAGGCGATGTGTTATAGAACTGTACACCTGAAACCTATATTATTTTATTAACCAATGTCACCAAAATAAATTCACTAACAATTTTAAAAAGAAAATATGTATTTGGACTTTCTCTCATAATCCAA